GCCTCCGGGCAAGATTTGGCCAAATCGAGCCGCGCATTTCTCATCGCGTACGACGAGCAGCCCGATTTGGCCAAATTTTGCCCGCAGACTGCCCGGCAAAATTTGGCCAAATCGAGCCGCGATAGTTTAAATAATTTCGGGCCTCCAGAAAGGCGCGGCTCGATTTGGCCAAATTTTGCCGGGCAGCCTCCGGGCAAAATTTGGCCAAATCGGGCTGCCCTTCGTATGCGATGAGAAATGCGCGGCTCGATTTGGCCAAATCTTGCCCGGAGGCTGCCCGGCAAAATTTGGCCAAATCGAGCCGCGCCTTTCTGGAGGCCCGAAATTATTTAAACTATCGCGGCTCGATTTGGCCAAATTTTGCCGGGCAGTCCGGGCACTTTTGGCCCCCCCCCCCTTTTCGGATTTAAATTATTTAAATTATTTAAATTATTTAAATTATTTAATTCCAGGGTGGAATTAAATAATTTTAATAATTTAAAGCCCCATTGCCCTTATTTTGCTAGCTTTCTGAAACGACAAGGACAACAACACATAGAAAGAGAGGAAAGGAATGAAACAATAGGCAGTGGAGCTCTTCAGTGTCTTTACCTATCTCTTTTCTTCTTTTTCTTTTTCATTCAATAAGGAAAAGAAGCTTCCTTTGGTGTGATTTTGAGATTCAAAAGAGAACAAGAGAAGAGAAGGGAGACCCGGGCTCGTAATTTAGTATTGAGGGGGAGGCCCGGGCTCGTGATTTAGTATCGGGGAATTTAAAAAATCAATTTCATTTCAATGTCCAGGGGCCCTGCCGGGCAAAATTTGGCCAAATCGAGCCGCGCATTTCTCATCGCGTACGACGAGCAGCCCGATTTGGCCAAATTTTGCCCGCAGACTGCCCGGCAAAATTTGGCCAAATCGAGCCGCGATAGTTTAAATAATTTCGGGCCTCCAGAAAGGTGCGGCTCGATTTGGCCAAATTTTGCCCGGAGGCTGCCCGGCAAAATTTGGCCAAATCGGGCTGCCCTTCGTATGCGATGAGAAATGCGCGGCTCGATTTGGCCAAGTTTTGCCCAGAGGCTGCCCGGCAAAATCTGGCCAAATCCAGCCGCGCCTTTCTGGAGGCCCGAAATTATTTAAACTATCGCGGCTCGATTTGGCCAAATTTTGCCGGGCAGCCTCCTGGCACTTTTGGCCCCCCCCCTTTTCGGATTTACATTATTTAAATTATTTAAATTATTTAAATTATTTAAATTATTTAATTCCGGGGGGGGAATTAAATAATTTAAATAATTTAAATCTGAAAGGGGGGGGTTCGGATTTAAATTATTTAAATTATTTAATTCCCCCCCCCGGAATTAAATAATTTAAATAATTTAAATAATTTAAATAATTTAAATAATTTAAATAATTTAAATAATTTAAATCCGAAAAGGGGGGGGGGGCAGGCCCCACCCGGCCCCTTCCCCCTCCCAGAATTAAATAATTTAAATAATTTAAATCCGAAAGGGGTGTTCAGGATTGAAATTAATTAAATTATTTAATTCTGGGAGGGGGAGGGGGCCCGGTGGGGCCTGGCCCCCCTTTTCGGATTTAAACTATTTAAATTATTTAAATTATTGAAATTATTTAAATTATTTAAATTATTTTATTCCAGGGGGGAATTAAATAATTTAAATAATTTAAATCTGAAAGGGGGGGTTCGGATTTAAAATATTAAAATTATTTAATTCCCCCCCGGAATTAAATAATTTAAATAATTTAAATAATTTAAATAATTTAAATAATTTAAATAATTTAAATAATTTAAATTATTTAAATAATTTGAATAATTTAAATCCGAAAAGGGGGGGGGGTGCCAGGCCCCACGCGGCCCCCTCCCCCTCCCAGAATTAAATAATTTAAATAATTTAAATAATTTAAATCCGAAAGGGGTGTTCAGGATTTAAATTATTTAAATTATTTAATTCTGGGAGGGGGAGGGGCCTGGTCCTGCTGCTCCCCCCCCCTTTTCGGATTTAAATTATTTAAATTATTTAAATTATTTAAATTATTTAAATTATTTAATTATTTAAATATTATTTAAAGTTATCCAATTAAAATTATTTAAATTAATATTTAAATTATTAAATTTAAATGATATTAATTATTTTTTTAAATTATTTAAATTCCGATTTAATTGGGAATTAAATAAGTAAATAATTTAAATCTGAAAGGGGGGTTCGGATTTAAATTATTTAAATTATTTAATTCCCCCCCCCCGAATTAAATAATTTTATAATTTAAATATTTAAATAATTTAAAATTTAAATAATTTATAATTTAAATAATTTAAATCCGAAAAGGGGGGGGGGGGCAGGCCCACCAGGCCCCCTCCCCCTCCCAGAATTAAAAAATTTAAATAATTTAAATCCGAAAGGGGTGTTCAGGATTTAAATTATTTAAATTATTTAATTCTGGGAGGGGGAGGGGGCCCGGTGGGGCCTGGCCCCCCCCCCCTTTTCGGATTTAAACTATTTAAATTATTTAAATTATTTAAATTATTTAAATTATTTAATTCCGGGGGGGGGAATTAAATAATTTAAATAATTTAAATCCGAAACCCCCTTTCAGATTTCATTATTTTTAAATTATTTAATTCCCCCCCCGGAATTAAATAATTTAAATAATTTAAATAATTTAAATAATTTAAATAATTTAAATTATTTAAATCCGAAAAGGGGGGGGGGCAGGCCCCACCAGGCCCCCTCCCCCTCCCAGAATTAAATAATTTAAATAATTTAAATCCGAAAGGGGTGTTCAGGATTTAAATTATTTAAATTATTTAATTCTGGGAGAGGGAGGGGGCCCGGTGGGGCCTGGCCCCCCCCCTTTTCGGATTTAAATTATTTAAATTATTTAAATTATTTAAATTATTTAAATTATTTAAATTATTTAAATTATTTAAATTATTTAAATTATTTAAATTATTTAATTCCGGGTGGGGGGGGGAATTAAATATTTAATAATTTAAATCTGAAAGGGGGGGTTCGGATTTAAATTATTTAAATTATTTAATTCCCCCCCCGGAATTAAATAATTTAAATAATTTAAATAATTTAAATAATTTAAATCCGAAAAGGGGGGGGGGGCCAGGCCCCACCAGGCCCCCTCCCCCTCCCAGAATTAAATAATTTAAATAATTTAAATCCGAAAGGGGTGTTCGGATTTAAATTATTTAAATTATTTAATTCTGGGAGGGGGAGGGGGCCTGGTCCTGCTGCTCCCCCCCCCTTTTCGGATTTAAATTATTTAAATTATTTACATTATTTAAATTATTTAATTCCTTGCCCCAGACCCCCCAGAAACGATAATAGGGTCTATTTGGAAGTTGTCTCTTGTAAATAAGTATACGTTTTGGGGCCTTATTTCCTCTTTAAAACACGAGTGTCAGCTTCCAAATAGACCCTATTTAAGCTGCACCCCCCCCCCCCCTTCAGGGTCGCCTTAATTGATTTCTGGGGAGGGGGGGGGCCCCCCCCCCCCCCCCCTTTTTGGACCCCCCCCCCTCCCTTTTCAGGCTTCCCCCTCCGTCTTGGTCAGGCCCTGCGCCTGACTCGAAAAAAGCTTGCTTGTCAGCCGCGTTTCTAGCTTTCGTGGCCCGATCTCAAGTTGGTACCCTCATGCATCGTCATGCATGATTCTTGAGTCACACTTTTCACTGGCATTAAAGTTTAGGGTTTCATGGACGCCCAGCATGTCCCTAAATAGACCTGAGCCCTCAAACGAAAAGCTGTCTTGTCCAGCTCCCCAGCTCTCCCATGGCTCTCCACGAGACTATTACCAGGCGTTGCCGTGATGGAAGGTGCGACTCCCAAGGTCATCGAGAACAGAGCCCCGCCCGCACCAAGCCTATTGCGGTCAAGAGCTAGATATTCCGATGTATTCCGCTACTGTTGGGGTGGAAGTCAGCTCCGCGACTTTTACAAAGAAGTCGGCCTTCTGATCTTGTACCCACCAACCGGTGAAACCAAACTCAAACCCAAGACCCGAAGCTCGGGCCCCCAACGGCGCTTCCCTCAACCAAAGGTGAGGGCATGCGCACCACCCCCTCCATCATCGGCTTCGGCGAGCAGCGCCTTGCGGCTTGGCCAAAGACTTGAGGGGAGGTTGCGTTTCGGATCAAGGGTAAGCCAGGTTCGGCATCAAAGGCTTCGAGGCCTTAATTGGTAAGGTGTGATTGGGAGGCTTTGTGTTTTTGGTCTTGGGAGAATGCTTGCGGGCTTGATCGCTGCTGTGCTCGCTCAGTTGGCGGTTACGACAATCACTCGATAGACTCGACCTGCTGCATGTGTGTATGTATGCGTGTGTGTGTGTGTGTGTGTGTGTGTGTGGCTGCCCGGACCGGGTGGGATTTCGCTTGGCTTGTCTGAAGAACTTGTTGTGGGTCATGGGCTGGGCAAGGGCTTGAATCAACCAGTTGGGCCCAACGTGCTTCGGCTCTCTGTTTGTCTGATTTTCGGCTCGTCTCGTCCCATCTTGGCCCGAGTCAAGCCAGTCAAGCCATGAAGAGAGTTTCAGAACCAGAGTCTGGACAAACATGCCTGAGCTGTCGCAGTGGAGGTTGGCATCCCGGCCAAGCGTCAAGCTGTCACCAACCCAGAGCCTTGGTAGCACCATGGGAAGCACCATGGGACGTGCAGTTGCTGAGGGGCCTTCGGGGGAGAATCTTCGGCTGGTCTTTGGGTATCTTCCTCCGTTGAAGGCGAAGGGGTTTTGGGTTGATTGTTGAGGCCCGAAAGCACACAGGGAAGGCTGTAGTCTGTTTCCCAGGCGAAAATGAACATTTCTGTTTGTGGCGCGCTTACATCTGAGTCTTTAGCTGAAAACCCGCGCTGACTGCGCATGGATCCGTGCACGTTTGCTTGCCAGTAATCCCTGCTAGCATTTGCAAACGGCCGTGGGAAAGCGATCTTGCAGTCAGCCAGAATGACCTAACTGGCCTCGCCTGAGCCCTTCAGTCTCAGAATCACTGCCCTCCCATGGCCGCCCTGCAAACCTGGTTATCAGGAGAACACCATCTTTGCCGCCAAGCGGCTGATCGGTCGGTCCTATGATGATGAGGTTCGGTGTGCTTGTGGGCACTGCCAGCCACTGGCTCCTGTTCAAGTCTTGCAGCAAGATGACTTGACCTTATGGCACAGTACAGGTGTGCCACTGGGCCACTGAGGACTTGTAAATCACGTCCTGCAATTTCATTGCGAGCTGCTTGGTTTCCTGAGAGTTGTTGGTTGGTCCTACTGAGCTAGCGTAGGTGTTGGTTTTGGGTTGTTACTCAACCTCGCTGGCTTCTCAGGGGCTTGGATGCAAAAGACCTTCTTAGTGGTTCAAAGTCAGGAAGCTACCTGGTACACTTATTCAATGTCGATGCCGTCTCTTTTCCAAAGTAGTCCCCGAGTGGCAAAACCCTGGCCCGGAAGGCGACGCAGAAGGACAAGAAGATCCTCCCCTACAAGATCATCAAGGCTGGTGGACGATAGAAGCCAGGGGACTCAAGCTTCCATCTGCAAAATGGCCATGACAAGCAAAACAGACCAGCTTGTGCTGTTTCGAAGTTCCCGAACTGTCCAGCAAGGCGCCGAATGGCGATGCGTGGGTCGAGGCGGAGGGCAAGCAGTGGCTCTCCAAAAATGGGGTTAGGGACGGACGGTTAGGGACGGTTAGGGTTTTTGGGAGAGTTGCACAACCTCAGAGGCCTCAGGAACAGAGTCTCCGAGTGGCCGCGTGTGCAATTCACTTGGGTTGGTACCTGGGTGCCGAATAGAGTCAGTCTGACGGCACCAAGGTACTCCCCGAGCCAGATCGGTGCTTTCGTCTTGACCAAAATGTGGCTGGGACCAAATCACCCCAGCGTGAGTGAAGATATGCTCGTGTTTACCCTAGTAGGTGAAGATTCCGGGCTTGTCTTCGGCAAGGAGCTTTTACTTTTCCGCTGGAATGGGGCCCATGTCAGTGGTTGTGGAGAGAGAGAGAGAGAGAGAGCGAGAGAGAGAGCGAGAGAGAGAGATATGTAAGCCCCCAGAAAGACGGAGAGAGAGGGAGAGGTAAACCCTCCACCCGATACATGAGACGCGGCGTCAGGGGGAGGTACCGGCAGGCAGTGAGTGCGCAAGGCTTGCTGTAGCGAGTGCAGCGCAAAGGGTGCTGTAGTGGTTGCCCTTGGAGTGTCCTGACTGGAGCTCTGCGCTGGCCCGAGGAAGGTTCAGGTTGGGAGGCACGGACAGGCAGTGGGAAAAAGGTGGGATGATTGGGGGGCCCAGACCCGTGCCCTAGAGAGAACATCAGCGAATGACAGAGGCCGTGAGAGGGGCTTTCCCCAGCGCAGAAGAAGCAGAAGTAGAAGCAGAAGCAGAAGCAGAAGAAGAAGAAGGAGGAGGAGGAGGAGGAGGAGGAGGAGGAGGAGGAGGAGGAGGAGGAGGAGAAGGAAAACCAAGAAAAACAGAAAACGAAGAAGAACAGAAAACGTGAGGAGAATTCTCGTGCGCTAAGGAAGGAGACTGCTGAGAGCTATCTCGGACGCACAGTTGGAAAGGCCAGATCGGCCATTTTGGGGCAGCCCACTGGTTCTCAAGTTGCTCGCAGTGTCAAGCGGGCGAAAGGAGCAGAGTGATAGTCGAGGATGAATTCGCACCATCAGCCCAAGCATGACAGGAGCATGTGGTAGGTCAGGCTTGCAGGCGATGAGGCTAGTCATGAGGTGTAACGAATGCTTGCAGTCCTGACCTTCGCAAGTTTTCCAAAGCTGCCCTCACTCAATCTGGGCGCTGTGGGTGGGCAGCAGAAAGTAAGCGGACCCAGCATGACCAGATGAGCCTGGCTAGCGGCCAGCCTTCCTGAAGAATTGAGAGGTTCTTGAAGTTTGAGATGCAAAACTCCTCCTCAGAAATCCCGCATTCGCAGTGCCTCGGATGTTGCAGGATGTTGCAAGCTAAGGCCGAACCGAAAAGGTCAGAAAGAAAGTTTTGCGAACGATTGGGGGATGCATGCTCCATGCTAGTGGTGACTGCTACAGTAGTGCTGCTTGCCCGAGGCGGTCGTCACTGTGCCGGCATACTTCAACGATGCCCAGCGCCAAGCCACGCACCTTGGCAGCAAAAGCCTCAGCTTGGCATGCGCCGAGCAGGGCCTTCCAAGTCTTATGTGCCTCAGCTGTTTCCTTACCTCAGCCCCGACGCTGTTCAGGAAGGATGCCGTCAAGATCTCGGGCCTGGAGGTGCTCCCGCTTACTGCGCGCTGAGACCTGCCTCCCCCGACTAAGATGTTCTAAGACCTGAACATGGGCAACAGCTTACCTCAAGTGCGACGTTCGCACCAGCGGCGGCCATGTAGATGCTTGTGGTAGCTGCTAGATGAGGCAGATTCTGGAGGATTGTTTAAACTGTGAGGTCATGCGCATCATCAATGAACCTACAGCTGCAGCACTGGCTTTCGGCATGGAGAAGAAGGTGGGGCCTTGATGGGCGTGTAGCTGAAGTTGCAAACGTCCGTGTCGGTGACACTGGGGGACTGCTCCGACATGTCACGAGATTTCTTGCGGGGCGCGACGGGCTTCAAAATTTCGGGTCCAGTACCTCAGCGTCATTAAGCATCTACTCAAAAGCATCTTCCCTAACAAGCGCCTTTTCCTTCAGGATTTTGATCATGCGCCCTCAGCGCCTTCAAGTTTCTTTTAGTACAAACGACGCTTTTCCGGCCCGGAGGAAAATTGACAGAGTCTTCCTCGGAAAAAAGGCTTGATGCAAATTTGCAGCCCACTTTTACGCGCGCCGGGATTTGTGTGCCAGTTGCGAGCGCGATGAGATGATTTTGAGTTTTAATCATTGAAGCAGTTGGTAGCAAGTGAAGAATTGGGTCAAGCAGCCGGGTACCACGGTAGCGGGGTGGCGGTTCTGGCTGGTTTCAAGCCAGTTCCTTGGGGGCGGAAGAAGGTTCTGATTTGCGGGTCCCTGCAGTTGCCTGGTGGCCGCGCAAGGACGGCCAAATCTTGGCGGTGTACGACCTCGGTGGTGGCACTTTTGATATCTCCGTGCTCGAGATCTCCGGAGGGGTTTTCGAGGCAGCCCAGCTTGCTCTTTCGCAGTGAGGGTGGCGGGGTGGGTAGCTTGAGGATTGATGTTTAGCAAATGTTAGCAGTGGGAGAGGGGCATCGCAGGGGTCAATTCTAAGGTTTAGTCCTGCCCGGAGTTGGGAGAAATCCGTGTAGCAAAAGAGAGAATTCCGGCTGGAAACCCTTTTGAAAGCGCTACTTGTCGTCTCAGATCCTCTTCCTTAGCCGCAGGAAGGTGCGTGCCACGATTACCGGCTTAGTGCACGGCACGTCGATAAGCACTAAATATAAGAAGGATTTCAGCAATGCAGTTGCTTCTTTTCCGTCTGGCATATGAATATTCGTGATTTTCTGATCATGCTTGCTGAAAAACCTCCGAACACAAAAAGTCCTGGCAACGACTTTGAGACATTTTAAGACATTTTTAAGACATTTGGGTGCCCCTGGGCCATGCCATGGGGCTCCTGGGACTCCACGGAAGCCGGCCAATGGGAGGCCGGGATGCCTTGTGAGGAGATCAGGGGCCCTTTTTGTCCCTTGTGCTGGGAGTCCGGACTTCGCAGGTTTTTGAGTAATTCCTTGGTGTTGGATGCGAAAAAGGAGGATACTTTAAAAACCCTCAAAGCCCTAAAAGCCCCTGAACCTCAAGACCCTCAGCACTCAACAACGCGAAGCACTGCTGGATCTTTAGCATCCGTGGCAGCCTGAACCAGGACTACTCCTGGCAGGACCGAGGACGACAGAGCCTTACCTGCCAAGATGCTGAACCCAAGTGGGGGTGGGGGTGGTGTTGAGAATGCAGGGCTGTGAAGGGTCAGGCATGACATGCCTCAAGGTTTGAGGGTGTGAGAACAGCGAGACAGCCGGCGAGCGTGAGCTTAAATTTTCTTCAAGCCTTCTTGCAAGATCTATATATAGCATTGTCTAACTACCATTGTGCAGTACCCTTTGACGCCCTGCATGGAAAGCCATGGAAAGCCATGGAAAGCCATGTACCAGATTCAGAGAACCTTAGGTGGCACTGGGAAAGCCGCAGATGGGATGGTGGAGCTCCGGCCCCATGGCTGCAAAGGAGGTCGGCCCTTGGGCTCTTGGGTGCTCGTTGAAACTGCGGGATGCTCAGCCCCTAAAGTTGCTAAAGGATCAGCTTCTCAAGGCCCGCGGGCTCTTCGGTCCGAACCGAGTGTTCCAGAACCCATCCGGATGCCCATGGTCACCCGCAGGCCGACAACAGATGTAGCAGCAGGTTCAGTACCGACCCTCTACATCCGTGAGTCCAAAGTTTCAATCGAGGCTGCGGCCTAGTACGACCATGGGATGATCGGGCTACCGCTCTTTTCTCCTTGGCTTCTGTTTTTTGCTTCAGCGCTTTGATGTGTCTTCAGAAGCCTCCCGCGTCGCCCAGAAGCCGCCCCGCAGCGTGCACCTGCGGCCGGCAGACCCCGAGGATGGAGGCGGAAGCCAACCTTAAGCACCTTCACGATCCCTGCCAAGACCTGCTTTGCCTCGCAAAAAGTCCCGGCTTGTTCCTGCGTGGTTTTTTCGGAGGCAAAATCTGGGTGGGTGGTGGTCGTCGGTCTGTAGCTCACGGAGCTTTGCAAAACGGCTTGGCCCCAGAGCTACGGATTCAAACAAAAACTCTGCCGTTGCACGGCTTTCACGGCACTGGCGAGTTGCTTGCTGTGAATACAACCCTGTAATGCACAGGGTGGGAGGAGCCTTCCTTGCCACGGCAGGAGGCGCGTTCGGGGTGCAACGTGCTTCCAGGAAGTCTTGCTCGCCAACCTGCTGTGTTCGCCTGCCCCGTGCGGTCTAATGCAGCAACATATACTGGTACGGCGGCAGGGTTGCTTCTTCTCACATGCGTCAAAATGCTAGAGACATGAAGACGGAGTTGCCAGCAAGTCCCTGCATGTGTGCCAAATTGCAAACAAATGGCTCACCCCGCAAGGGCTCTCCGCGTTCAGAGCCTCGCTCTGGACCTCCTGGTCCCAGGCCGGATTGCAGGGAAAAGGTTGGCGACAGCATGGGGGGGGGGACATGCCTGGGATCAGAAAGGGTTGGGTCTCAGTTTTTTCTGGCAGGATTGCAAAACGGATGTAGGGTAGCTTTGCAAGGTCACGCCCATCCTTGCCCGAACCCCCCCCTCCCCCCGCCCTATCGGGAAGAACCTAATCTTTGCCAGATGCTAGCAAGAGTCTGTAGCCGAGGTTCGTGATCTCCTCTCCCAAGCGCCGCAGCGACAGCCGTGACAGCCGAGGCTCAGCTGACTCGCTCTGGACCCTGACATGCTAAGCATCCCCAAGCCCGGCAGCAGGAGTTTCAGAGTTCGTTCGTGCATTTTTTGCGTGCTGTTTATGCAGCGGGAGGTGACCGCCGTCCTCCTAGTCATCACCGCAGTGGTCGTCGGCGTGTCCTGTCCCTGAACCAGGGGCTTCCCCGCCATTGTACGTTAGCAGCAAGTGCCCTCGTGGCTATGTTTTGTTGAGCCTTTTCGTACTCGCTGGTCAGAGCCACATTGAACCTGCTAGCTGCTAGCTGCTGTGAACGAGCTTTTGTTTTGGCTACGGCTTCCCCTTGAAAGATTGGAAAAGACATTGTAGCAGATCTGTGGAATCTTGAGTCGAACTCAGAAGCCGCAGCTGAACCCTGCAACTTTAGGTAAGCCGAGGTGATGAGAGCTTCGACAGCCGTGACAGCCGCGATAGCCGTGCACGGCTCGGCGAAGATTTGACGGAAGAAAGGGACGAAAGGGACCTTGAACGGGGATCCCTGAGAAGCCCGGACTTCCGTCGCCGTGCATCCTTCGAGCTCTCCCCAGAGTTGCGGGAAGGACCTCAGACCTCAGGGATTCGAAGGGGAGTTTGAGAGAGTTTGAGCGATCCTGAGAGGAATATTGAGGATTCCGCAGAAGCCCAGAGAGTCACGGGAGTATTTTGGAGTGCCAACCCCAAGAACGCAAAGACTCCCGCAGAGTAGCCTCAGAGAATCCACCTGGTGCCATCCCAGATGATTCCTTCAGAGAGCACATCCAGTGTATTTCAAGCTGGGACAGAAAGCTCTCGCAAGAGATGCTGCTGACCTGTCTGTTTGGTCTGGGGTGATTTGTGCACAAGAGGGCCGTCGGATCCGGACATGGCCAAGTCGAATATGTGTTTCATCCGACTGCTTTCAGGAGAGACCGTCGCACGGCTCGAGGCGGAGGATGTGGCTGGGAGTGTTGATGCAGGCTCCGCCCATGAAGCTTTCGAATTGTTTAGGGAACTGTTTAGGGCTCCTAAGCGCAGGGGCAGTTTCGGGGCGTCTCGGGCCTGTGGCGGTTGTCAACTTTGAGGTGCCACAGGGCACCATGGCACGGTAGTGCTGTTGAAGTTTCGGGCCAACCAAAGCTAGCTGGAGAGAGTAGCCAAAGTTTCAGACAACCCTAGCACATCTTTTGGAAGGGTTTGCCTCCCAAAGCAGTTGAACTGCAGCGCGGGGCCGGGCTGGGCCCCTTGTGAAAAACGTTCGCCTCATTGAAGCACTGGCTTTGCAGGGTTAAGTCTTCATACGTTTTCTGAGTGCATTGGCAGCCACCAGAAGTCCTAAACCCCAAAATCATCCCAATTTATTCCAGCTCCAAGCGTCTCGGAAGCCGCCGCCTGAGGAAGCGTGGGCCCGGACCTCAGGGAAGCTGCAGGCCGGGCAGGGCCTCCCCGCCTCCCCTTTCCTCCCCCCTTGAAAGATCTGCAGCTTCTCCAACATCGCCTCCGATACGATCTTGCGTCGCTGACTTTTGATGTTTGTCACATTTGTGCATCTATCCCGACACACGTGCAGTCAGAGGCTAATTAAGCACAACATTGGCCATGATTTTGGGAGGTACGGAGGCCGGTGGGCCACCCAGCAAGCCCGAGCAACTTGGGCTGACACAGCTTATATCTGGTGGACCGGTGCAGATGCCTTCTGTCGGGATGTCGTTCTAGCAGGTGGCGTTGGCGACCTGTTGCGGCCATTGCACTCTGACCATTCACATGGATGGCACCGACACGCAGGAGAGGAAGACGAGCCCCCTGAACCCATCCGAACCCGTCTGAACCCTTCTGAACCTTCGTGAAGCCTGAAGCCCGTTTTGAAACCGAGGCCTGTGAGGCGCAAGCGCAGGTTCTTCGACCTGCCGCCTGCGGAGGCCCCAAAAGGTGGTTTTTCGAACTTTGCGATGACTTGGTTCGTTTGGCACTAGGATTTTTAGGTCCCCGTGGGCTGCTTCTCAGAACTTCAGGGTGTTCCGGCTTTTAGATTTCTGCACTGAAGACCTTTGGAGGTGCTGCCGGCCGTGGAGCCAGTGGGCCTGCTGCCGGGCTCATTTCATGGCCGTTATGTTGCAGCTGACTTTAGGGAGGTGAAGAGTTTAGTGTTTCGTGTTTCTGGGCTTGTGCTAAGAGGGTTCAGGGGGTCCGAGCCAACAGGCAGGGCAAGTCCATCAGAAGCTCTGCAGGCCCGCCGAATGGCTACCCGTGGTGGCCACATCAGGCGGGTTGTTGTCGCCCCTTCTTCGCCTTTTTTTTTGAAGGAGATTTTAAATCTTCGGATCTGGGCCTGGTGGGATCTCTGGTTGCCCGAACACGCGCTCCAACAAATAAACCGACGAGCTCCCAAAACAGTTGAGGGCTTTCACGACCGGGGGGCAAGCCGGAGGATTGGTGTCGCTTTCGGGGGTGAAGCCATGTGAAGCCTACCAGCCCAGCACTGCTGGCAGGATTGGGGTGCAGCCGACTCAAGCCAGCACCCCAAAACTGCACCAAGCCCTGAAGGCTCTGAAGGCTGATCTGCTGGAACCCCTTCTCTAAAAGGTTTTAACAGGGCCCAGACTCCTCTTCTCTCCAGGCTCCGCGGTGCTGCTGGATCCGCTGATGGACGCGGCGCGCAGGGGGGGGGGGGTTGATGATTATAATTTCATATGGGATGGGCAGGATGGTGGGACTTTTCTTGTCCTCCTCCGTCCCACTCCCCCACTCACCCGTCCGATGCCTGCAGTCCGGCATTCCGAAGATGGTCTGCCAAACGCTGTTCAGTCACTATTCCCTGTGCCCTGACAGGCTGCCTCCCTGCAGCGAGGCGACGTAGCCGAGGTCATGGCCTACTGTGGCTGGGCAGAAACAGACAGATGTTTTTGGGGGGCTACGGCTTTAAGGCTTAAAGTGACCTTTCCAAAGCTGTCCCTGTCCGTGTGATTCTTCCTCCACGTCGTAGGAGCCTCGAACCCCGGAGCGGAGTAGGGGCTTGGAGGTGGAACTCCACAAAATGAAGGCCCAACTATGCCCAACTCGCTCTCCGAAGGTTCAAGGCTTTTTAGCTTTGCCCGGCAACTTCAGCTAAGCCAACCATCTCCTGTTCCCAGGTTTGGAGCACGCAGCCCAAGCACCCAATCTTGCCACGCAGCTGGTAACCAGGTCTGGGATTTGAGGGTGAATTCAAAGCTGTGTTGGTTGCAACTCAGGTTTTCGGAGGCCAGGTGGCGCAACCGAACTCGACACCCCAAGGTGCTTAAGCCTTCCGGCCAGACCGGCACTCTTCGGACAAACCATGTCTCGGCAAAATGAAGAACACGTCTGAAAGCCTCGGATGTCGCCCGGAGGTGTTTGCAGGGCCGGGGACCCTTGACCCGCAGCGCTGCGTGGCCTGAATAAGATGGATGAGCTGCAGTTGCATGCAGTTGCTTGTTGGGCGGCGTTTGGATTTCATGGTTGAGGCCTTGCATGTCAGGTTCGATGTTGAGGAGCCGTTTCCGCTTCATAGCGGCCTCGAGCCACGTAAGCTCACCATTCAATACGAAAACCTTAGCGTTCACTTGCTTTTTTTGCAACGGGCACTAGACTCGGTAGACGTGTCCGAAGTTGTTCTGAACCTACGTAGATGGCCCGAGCCCGAGCGCACAAAATGAGCATGCTTGTTTGAGAGCGGCAGTTGCGAGTCTTGCAACATGTTTCCGGGTCTGAAGCTTCGGGTGTCTGAAGGGGCCTTTTGTTGCGGCTTTGCGGAAGTGAACATCTGCGAAAGTAGGGAATTGCGACTGACATGTTTTAGAGCTGGTCCACAGCTGGGGTCCTCCTTGGAGCTTCACCTTGCAGAGTCCGCGAATGAAAGGGACTGCGCAAGCCATGCACAGTATTCTTCGTTGAACAAACGGGAAGCCACAAGTGGGGCCAGTGTGTGGTCTCATGCTCTGCACCTCTCCAGTGCTTGGATAGGCCCGGAAAGCCAAACTTGTTGTCCCCGGCCGAGGACACAGCTTGCCTTTTCTGCAGCTTGGGTACGAAGTGATCAAGCTAGGGTTCAAAGATGTTCAGAGGACTGAGGATGCTACTGTAAACGGCCACACTCAAAGCCCTGATGCTTGAAGCCAAGTCCTCCGCGATGCTAACACCTTCACTCTATGTGGGTGTCGAACAGCCCTTGAGGTGTGTCGGATGTGTTGCACAACACCATGTATGCCCATCGCTGTCCCGGGGCCAATGCATATCGCACGGCCTTTGAGGACTCTCCTGTTGGGTTGTGGTAGCCCCATGTAGCCCCATGTATTCAGGGCGATGCTGCTGAAGACTTGGGCTCGAGACTCTCGGAGTCTTGCTCTACATGCCTTTCTGGCCTAAACGTCACGCGTGTTTTTGTTTTTAGGCTCCCAAAAACCTTGGAGTTGCAAATTTATACGAACTCGGCGACGGGCTTCTTAAGGCCTTCTGTTCGGAGGAGCTCCTGCCGCGTGTCTTCCACCGCCTCCACCTGGGCCTCGTCGCGCTACAAAGGGTGGAGCAGACCCAGGAGGAAGAGCGTTTGAGGGTGCTTCTGCAGGCAAGAGGGGCTTGGAGGAGCGACTGATTCCAATGGTTTTGAGGAGGGGCATGGAGGGGCTGAAGATGGGTTTGAGATTCCGATGGGTTTGTGGCACTGCGCCGTCGTTGGATATTGAAGGCAGCCACTTCGAGCTAAGTTTTGTCAACTTCGGGGTTCTTTGAGGATCTCCAAGGTAGCGCGGGCTTTTGGTTCCTGATGCCCGCTGCCCGTTCTGAAGTTGCATGTGCGGAATCCTGAGTCCACAGTTGTTTCATGTTGTTTCTGTCAAGCCTTTCTGTGTGAGGCTTGGCGCAATGCGGAGTTCTATCCCACCATCTACCTGGATGGTATCAGCTTAGTTGCATTGCGTTTCCCAGCACCATCCCCTCAGGGGGAGCGGAGCCTCGGTGCGCGATTTCCCGTAGACGCCGATTGAGGTCTCGAGGCGGTGGCCTTTGCCGGCGCGTTGGGAACTGACTCGGCGATGGAGGCACAGAGCAAGGAGGTGCGAATGCGTCTCAGCTGACGATTGCGATGATTTACTAGGTAGCATGATGGAGCCGTGCCGCATGGAGCGGATTGGGACGGTTCGGACTGACTTTCCCAGTTTGTCTATTAGCCGATGAGCTTAGGGCTGCGCTTGTCTGCTTGTCTCTCTAAGGAAACTGGAGGCGTATGCGGCTCTTGATCCGCTTGGGCTGGAGCGACGCTGTCGAAACAGGGGCCTCTGGACCCACAGCGGAACTGACCAACCTCCACCTTCGAAGTCGACGTTGCTGGAAAGATTGCGGGTGTTTGAAGTCTATTGGTCAGCCAGAACATCGGAGCCGAGCTCAGACGCTTTGTTACCGACTGAACTGGAAGGGCGTGAAACTTCGAATGCGGCAATGAACATGGAGATGGACGACATAGATGGCATACCTATCCAGACCCCGCTTTCAGCCGATCTGCACCTACAGCGGGTGCTCAGGAATCTTCGAGAAGTATTTTCAGGTCAAAGGAGGTCAATATCAAACCTGAGCATATGTCACGTAGTCGCATGCAATGCCGCTCGGACTTGTGTGGACGGAGGAACCAGCCTGCATCTGTGGGCGGTGCGATGTCTGCATCGGCTGGCTGGTCCTGCGTGGAAGGGGCACTGCCCGAGCCAGTTCCCATCAGCGCGGGCGCCAGAGGGCAGAGCACGGGGGGAAGCACTGAAGAAGGCACGAAGAACTGTTTAAGCTATTGCCATCCTCCTGATTTCGTCCCGTGTTTCTTCCCATGAGCCCCAGAAGTGCCCCACAAACGAAACCCGACAAAAGTACGCTGCGCTGAAGGCTCCGTTGATGAGGACCTGGATGGCGAACCTATCGGCACCTTTCCTTGACAATGCCAGCTCGCTTTGCAACATATATGTATATGTATATGTATATGTATATGTATATGTATATGTATTTGTCTATTTATATGTATGTGTCTATGTCTATGTCTATGTCTATGTCTATGTCTATGTCTATGTCTATGTCTATGTCTATGTCTATGTCTATGTCTATGTCTATGTCTATGTATATGTATATGTGCATATATATATATATATCTATATGTATATATGTATGTATGTATGTATGTATGTATGTATGTATGTATGTATGTATGTATGTATGTATGTATGTATGTATGTATGTATGTATGTATGTATGTATGTATGTATGTATGTATATATGTATATATGTATATATGTATATATGTATATATGTATATATGTATATATGTATATGTGTATATGTGTATATTTGTATATAGGTATATAGGTATATATATATGTGTATATATATATAATTATATTATATTATATTGTATTAGGTTATGTTATGTTATATAATATCATATTATCTTATATTATATTACCTTACCGGTCTTTAAACACAACTATATATACTATGTTTTTTGCAGTTGCTGGCTGCAAGCTACAGATGAATAGTGATTGTATTCGGACCGGCAATGGCAGAGTTCGGTGAGTTCGGTGTCTTAAATTGACGATTCTGCTAGAAATGCACGCCGGGTCCTTTGGCCATTCCCAACCATCGAATGATCAAGTGGCATCAAGTGGCCTGAGGCGTGCTGGAGCTTCAACAGTGGCGGGCTGCCAAGGCCTCTGCAGCTGCAGCCCCGATACCTGCGCCGGTGGAAGGCCGATTTGGATCTGAAACACACCTTGAATCGAGGCCGACAGCCTACAGCCCTACAAGCTAGAACCGCTCTGCCACACACCACCACAGAACGCCCAACATACACCAAAGCAATCGAAACCCCAAATCCCCTAAACCCTCTCAAAACAAGTCGTAAACTCAAGCACAGGTGTAAATTTTGCAGCATCGCAGCATTGGAAAGGGAAGCGGTGACCACTCTCCCTGCCGAGTCCCGTGCGCCCTGCCGTCCATCCCCAGACCCGCGGAGGCCTTGGCAAAATGTGCCAAGCTAGGCTTCGGAGTCTTGCGGTTTTGAGACCTCAGGCATTCAGAAGCGATCTATGACATGTTGAAGCCTGTTGTCACATCATGCGCATGCGGCATGTGGCCTTTGTACCCCAAGCAACAGTGTGCACTGACTACACGATGTGCTGTGCCCGCAGACAAGCATATTTGTGGTAACCTGGCAATGTAGGGTCCGAAAAATCTTGGCCATGGCTTTTGGGACGTGGGATGTTAGACTTGTCTTCCAGTTCATCTCAAGCCCCTTGCCCTAGAACCACCTTGCCGAGATTTGCAGACCTTACCTTGTGTTGAGCCCCGCAGTGGCATGCCCAGCAAGAAACGCCTCCACTAAACGCCTCGCTCACTTTTCACGCAGAGCGAGGCAAACCTGGGCTTCGATGATGCAGACATTGAGGCCTTGCTGTCTGCGTCCCGGGCTGCTATGGTATCGTTCTGCTTCTGCTTCTGGTGACATGTAAGCCCTCACCCCAAGCCCTCAACCTCGCAAGCCCTGAGCTCCCAAACGCATCTGCTTTTTCCTACGTGGTTAAGCTCTGAAGTACCCCATGAAACCTCCCAAAATGCTCGATAACAAAACCCCGAGTTAACTCAAGGCATCGAAGGCTGCGGCCGTGGTGGCTTGGATGCTTAGGGCTCACAGGGCCATTCAGCAGGCTTCGCAGAGAGCTTCTGCTTCCGGCATTTGCGGCTCTTTACGGCTTCTGGGGGTCAAATCTGGTGAGCGGAGCACCAGCACCCGTGCTGCTCCAGCTCCTAGACCAGTAGGCGTTGCCCAGGGCGAAAAGTCCCGAAAAGTAGGCTGTCATTCAGCTCTACGCACCAATCTAACACAAGCACCTCTTTGGACAGGCAAGGTGCAACAGAATGTTTTTGTTTACGCAGGGATTTGCTTGGAGCGTCGGCTGTTTGTTTCTCTCATGCTCAAGCTTCTTCTCGCATGTTCGGTCGAACGGCAAGACGTAAGCAGAAAGGATGAAGGCCAGTCGTTTTGTTGCCATAGTTTTTGTTTATACTGAAGTGTGCTGAAGGTCCCTACGCCCCAGCCGCCGATGCCCCCGCCATCGAGGCGAAAACGCGCCGAGGCGATGGCTTTCCGAGCGAAGTTTGAAGCCACACTCCTGGTTTGAGCAGGGTTTAGGAAAGAAATTTAGGGCTCCCAGTGGGGTGAAAGGTTTCCGTTCTCATTCTCGAACCCAATTGCCCAAGGTGGGGCTGCAGCATCCCCATCGGAGGGCCCCTGTTTCCAGGCAGCGCCCGGCCGCGCGCCCGAGGGGTTGGCCCGAGGCTGCCAGGGTTAAAGCGGTTCAGAGGCCTTTTCACCTCCCAACCCTGCAACATCCCCAGTGATCTTGAACATCTTTATGCTGTCTGTCCTTGCGATCAAAGCCCTTGCCCGTGCTGGTGGACTTTCATGTTCATTCCTTCAGCGGCTGGCTAAATACTTCTTCGAGCCATTTCGAGCCGAATGGGATGCCCAGGTTAGATCCCAGTTAAATTCTATCTATCTCAGAACCCACGAATAGGTTCTCCAAACCCTTGTTCAACTTCGTGAGGAGGCCACAGCTTCGAGGCGTCACGGGCGACCGACGCCAAGGCTCCGTGCGTGCGGCGGCCGGGGGCTGTGGAGGAGCATCCGGAAAGGCTGTCAAGAGTTACTGGGACTTGAAGAGGTTTTGATGGTTGTGCAGAGGCTCATTGAAAGTTTTGTTTTTTTTTGGGCTGGGGTTCGACGGACAACGCAAGGGCTTGTGCTTGGGCCCTGCGCCCTGGCCCTGCAAGCAATCCAGGCGTGTCGAAAATTTGCAACATAGCCTGAGATTAAGGTTCTAGGGTTGACCCGGCAGACTTCAGAGGCCTGGATGTAAAAGGGTTGACGTCCACACGCGACAAGGGAATGAGTGGTTAAGGCTTCTTCTTGGGTTCTGCTAAGGTGCGAGGCACTAGGAGCATGTCCTTTGTCCGGCTCAGTATGTTCCTACAAGCATTTTTCCTAGTTCTTTCGACAGCAAGGTGCCCACATGTGGATTCCACAGACGACGCAACTAACAATGCCTCCGCATCAAGTGTGCCAGGAGAAGGCCCGCGACCCCTCACCGCTGTTGCGACGGCGGGAACTTCCACATTTGAAGGCTGCACGCTAGCATCAAGTAGCCTGACGCTTTTGAGCTGCTGTTTCAGATGAAGGGAGGGTCGACAGCTTTGAGGACACACCAGGGAAGTGTGAGTGACCTTCAGAACCTTTTCTGAACACATGCGCTCCAGAATCCGAAAGCCAGAGCCTGCGGCGGCAACTTACAACTCCATGAGAAAAAACATGTGAATGTGCAAAAGCACATGCAACCGGCGGAGCTTCTTCTCAGCATCCCTTCAACCCAGCATCCCTTCAACATTCTTCACCCTCGTGCTCCTCTTGCGGACTGAAGTGAGAAATTTGAATCCAGCTCTGGGAGGAGGAGCCTGCCCCAAGTCGTGGGACTGGGACTCAGAGCCGCGCCGAACTCGGCCGAAAGGCTGGGTGGTGGGTTTCAGGATGCGGGACTAGCTTTCGGGTTTGACGTCTACGTGAACGGGCTCGTGGTTCCGCGCCTCAGCCCTAGAAACTCTACAGCTTGCATCGGCTTTGAAGTGCGCATCCTGCGAGTCGTAGGGCCTGGGATCATCCTCGGCAAGTTGTTTAAGCCGTTTAAGCTCTGTCATTTGGACCTTGTTCCTCAATCCAGCCATACAGAACCTTTTAACCTGTGAGCAGTCTACTGGATCCACTTCCAGGGCCGGCCGCCGACACCCCCAAGACGGAGGGAGCGGCGCAAGGAGCGGAGACTCGGCGCCTTCATCTTTATCTTTTTCTACAGTCATATTTGTTGTTTGTAGCTATATGTTTGTCATGTTTCTTATTGTTGCTACTGCTGTCATTGTGTTGTGTTGTGTTGTGTTGTTTTTCTTGTTTGTTGCGGTCATTGCCCTTCTTGGTTTGTTATGACAGGGGTTCAGGCCTTGGCTGTAGCGGTCTTGCCCAAGTAAGTTCCACTTTCCACTTTTCTGAGAGACCCTGCATACGCAGCTATTCTTCTTGCCAGGTCTCCTATATTCGTCCCCTGTCGGCAGAGTCACAGGGCATCCCGAAGGTGCCCTCCAAAGTGTCAAATTCTTTCGCTTGTGAATTAACCCTCGGTGTGGGATAGTTCGCCTTTCATGCTCCGCTATTCTCCTGTCCTCCTCGCTTGGGACCGTGCCAACTGGAGTTTCCAGTGATCCATATGGTGCCCTCTGGCGGAGTGACCCCCCGAGATCTACAGTGCTCTATTAAATAACTTTGTTTTAGGCTGGGGATGTTCGGAGTACATGGTTTGGCGGGAGCATGAGAGTCAAAACCGCCTTGACGACGAGTGAGACCCCATGCCGAACAAGGCAACCAGCCGCTTAAGTTCGCGCACAACCTATCAAACCTGGACCCTGCATCCTGCAACTTTCTACAGAGAATCCACTGAAGGTCTCCGGAGCCCCCAGATTCGCAGAAGCCGTCCCGAGAGCGAGGCGCCTGAGAGCAAGCGGGTTGTAAACCGGGGTTTCGACTTGAAGGTATGGGATATTGTGTAGGCAGGTTGCTCGTAGAAAAAGAGCGTCTGAACTTCTAGTTTCCCGGCCGAAAGTGGCAAAACAGATGCTTTTGCACCGCACCGGCCCAAGCCCTTGGCCGCTTTGAGGCAAATCGAGGCGACGGCGGCGTGAGGACAAAGGCGGACCACAGTAGCGGAGATGTCGGACACATCATTTGGGCCAGTTGGGGTTGCCAGCTAGCAGCTTATCTCAGTTTTGACGGTGTTTTGTAGCAGCTCGTCAGTCTGCAGTGCTGCAAACATAACCCTCGAGGCAGGCAGGAAGCACCCTGCATTGGAAACACTGTGCAGCACAAGCCCTACTTGAGCAGCCACTGGATCCTGCATGTTAAGCCGGCCAGAACGGCTAGCCAAAAGCTGCTCCCCGAATCATACCGTTTTAATTCTGCTGCTGAGGCGTTGGCCTTGGGCATCAATAGATCCCTTGAAGCTCCAGCATGATTCAGCTGATGTAGTAACTCGATGACCAGCGGCGTGTTACCTTGGAGGCTCCTCCGCCCCATCCTCCCGGGTTCATCCGAGCGTCGCTGTCCGGCGCTCACATGGGCTTTACTTTTCGAGCATTTCTACAGTGTGCCCCTCCTCATGCGATACAATTGTGCCTGTGCCCTCTATGTTAGGCCTTTTCCGTCCATGCACATTTTGGGTTCAGCCTTCAGTGCTGACATGCGCTGGCGGTACCATTTGCACAGTTGCACGTTGTAGACATGCAACTGCGCTTCGTGCCGATACACTACAGCCGGTGTTCTGTTCTGGCATAACCATACTGCATTGTCCTGTGCCACCCTCTGAAGTACCATCTTACCCCTGACAATAATCTCCTTTGTGTTCCTGTGTCAGGGCCTCAAGCCTCTGGACACTGCTCAGTCCGCCGCCGCGGCAGCGGCGGCTGCGGCGGCAGCCGCCAGTGCTGCAGCCTTTCTTTCAGCGAGGCGCTGCAGAAATGGTGGATGGCGATGTGATGGCGATCTGAGGATGATTTGATGGCTGCCTATAGGAGGACGGCGGGGGAGGTTGCCCTAAACGTGACACGGGGTTATGAAGAACTCTCCGTCTAGTTGCTATGGTCCACAGCCCGCTAGCAACCTTTCCAGACCCAAGCTGTCTAAGCTAGGCCATTTTTCCAAGCTACCCGGAGACACGCCCGTAGGAGCTCAACAAATCCTTACTCCGTGGAGCTCTCCAAGACTAAAGACACCCTAGGGATCATTGGCTGCATGCCAACCTCTTCTCCAAGGTTGCAAAGGAAGGGTTGTCGATGGGCAAGAAGCTTAGTTGGTAGGAGCCGTCCTGAACTTTAAGAGTGCTGGCCGGTCGTGTGAATATCATCGATGCAAATGGAACCCATCTTGACTGGATGGGGATTTGTGGTTGGCTGTCAGAGGTTTGTCCGAGGGCGAGGGTCGCCCTTGAAGAGACAGCCGAGAGGTCCCGAGCTACTGCGCCTCCACAGTCAGCCACCGAGCCTGCGGCTCAGAAGGTGGGGCTTAGTTTTCAACATTTTGTTTAGTGTTTTTTAAAGGTGCGGGGTCAGAGATGCCTCTCCGGCTGGCACGTCCCGAGGTCGCGCAACCTGCGCAAGGCAGGGCGGTAAGCCTGCTGCCAGGTGGAACGTTGATGGTTTCATGGATGTTGAAGGTCGAGACGAGTGCTTGAGGGAATGCCTCCGGGGCCCAAAGATCCTTGAAGGTGTGCAACCATCACACCTACCAGGTTCAGTTGGCTCTGGCGACCCCCTCCGAGACCCGCCACAAGCCGCAGGGCACGGACAGCCCTGAGCCGGATGCCGAGTTGGATGGAGACCCACTCTCCAGTGACGAGGACCTTCTTTGTGACTGTGGACGGCTTGTGTGATGGAGGGTGACTGGGTAGATGGAAACAGCGCACCGTGGTTTTTCAAAGTAGTCTTCTGCCAGCTTAAAGCCGTTTTTGAATCAAAAGAGTTTTGGCTTCGATTCTCATGAACATCTCAAGGACCTCTAGCCGACGAAAGGCGCCGAGATCACAAAGATGGAGTGCTGGCCGTTGGCCGTGCTCTCTGCGCGTTGGACCCCCCAAAAAAGCCTCCCCGCCCCTTCTAGGAGAGCACTTGAGTGCATGCTCTGCATACGGTACTGCATTCCTCGGTATGGGTGCATATGAAGCAATTGGGAGCCGAATGCTCTTGCTAAAGCGATCTGAAACGCTTCCTGTTATCTTCAACGCGCTGCCGCTTTGCGACCCTCACTTGCTGGTGGCTGTTAGGACCTGCAGCACTTGTTAGGGTCGGCTCTAATAGAACATGCTGCAGCAGTGCGCTGCGGCCGCACGAAAACAGCACTGGCCAATGTGGCACCTGCAGTCACCGCAGTCATTGACGCGTACCATCGTTGCCTTCAGTTGCACATCAAGCACTTGGACCATGGTGCTCAGACAGAACAAGCCTTTTCTGCTCCCATGTTTGAAAATTCCTGGCAAGACGTCAGTCAATTTGCGATGGTGCGTGTGCCGAGATCCCGGCGAAAGAGCTGGGCGGAGACTTGCATCGCAACCGTCTGTCACCCGTCGACATTCTCAGAAGCGACCGCTTGCCGCTAGCTATTAGTTGTTTGGTCCAGGCCTCTGGTGCTTTGTTCTAACATTCTGCCTTTCCCATCTGAACCAAGCTATGACGGATTCGGGTTTAGTGTCTGCATATTGGACGTCTGCGTAGGGATCGCTGCGGCCCAAAATGCATTCATGCATTTGACGAGCCGAACTTCGGCGCCTTGAAAGGTGGCAAGCGCTGCGGGCAAGAAGCCTGGGCTGCCAATGTGCCCTACTGCGAGGAACACGCTGCCACCTGGCATCACCTGGCTTCGTGGGGAGTGGCAAGCTGTGTTAGTGCTGTTGTGTTTCAACTGGGGACCTGGGTGGCAAGATGGACATCTTTTCATTTACTTTAAGGATGTGGCCGGTAGAAGCTTTCTATCTTCCAGATCTTGTGAGTTGACTTTTGCGAATGCGCTGCTTGGGCTAAGCCTCATGCGTTGCCAGGCGCTGCTAGACCCTCGGCAGAGAGAGAGAGAGAGAGAGAGAGAGAATGCGCTGCTTTTATCTAATGCTGCTATAGCTTTAGGAAGTCAACAAGAGTTTCATCACAAGACAGTATTTTCTTCACTTTGTGGTCATTCTATTTGTCTTTTTAACTTAGTTTGCCGCTTGCAGATTATTACTTTGCAGATTAAAGAACTTCGTATTCTCGCATATTCAATCAATGATTCGCTTTACAGTTGTCTTTCCTTTTTGGCGAAGAAATTTCTCCAGGGCCACGGCGACCCGAGCTGTGCAGTGGCAGAGATCCCCACGGTGGGCAAGATCCTGGTAGCGGTGGCCTGCTTCAGTCAGCAACGTTTGCGGGATCCGTTTGTGCATTCTCTCATAAGCCGTGAAGAGCCCTCAGGTAAAACGACGAGAGTTCTCTGTACTGCTGTACCATGCTGTGCCCTAAAGCCGGGGATTTGGAGCCAGCGGTTTGGATTCGTGGTGGTTTCTTTGCGTGTGTTCAGAAAGGCCAACACTAAGTCACTAAGCCAAACTAAGCTATGAAACCCAGGCACGGCCCCTTCCAAAGGGTTACCGGCTGGCGTGGTGGGGCCGGCGCTGTCGAAAGGCCGAGGTGCACATGGATCTCAAGGGTTGGGGAGGGTGACAAAGTGGGTTGCAGACTGTACGGCTGGTTGGGTTGACAAGGCTTCGGAGGGCGGCCGCAATCGGGGCTCGGAGTTGTGCGAGTGCGCTTCCACAATCTTTCGCACGTCCTTAGGTGTAGGGTTTTTGCGCAGACACGGATCTTCTCGGCACCTTATGCAGCCATAAGTGTTTCATGGCTTGGGGAGCAGCTGCAGGTGTTTGCGAGAGTCTGGTTGCTGATATGGAGGTGTTTTCATTCCGGTTGTCTTGCAAGAGAGAGCCTAAGAGAATGCAAGCAGCATCTCTCCCAAAGGGCGAGCCAGATGCCAGCCACCAAGCCCTGCGCTTGAAGCCAGGCAAAGGATCTCAGCCGGTGCTTTGAGTTGTCGTCGCCTGGCGGGAATCCTGCAACACATGTCCAAGACGTAGTCAATGTAGTCCCTTCTTGAGCGGTGTTGATTTGTGGCTAGGCGCAGACATACGGGGAATGCTGATCTGCGCGTGAATGTTGTGCTTAAGCGCCTTTACCTTCAAGCCCCAATGCGAGTGCGTTTAGGCACCGCCCCTAAACGCGCCTGTCGTGGAAGGTTTCAGCCTATTTGGGGTTCATACCGATAGATTATCCCGCCCCTAGAGCCGACTTCGTCAGAGCCCAGCACGGCCTCGCACGGAAGTCCGAAAACTCTTGCACTCCGTTCAGTAATTTTAACGCTACGCGACCCGCCTCGGCCCGGCCCAGCGCATGCGCGTGAGCATGCGCCCAAGTCGCTGGACCCCAAGCAATAAGGGTTGGGTTTAGGGTTTAGGGTTTAGGGTTTAGGGTTTAGGGTTTAGGGTTCCGGGTTTATGGTTTATGGTTTAGTTTAGGATTGAGGGCTTAGGGCTCAAGGTTCACGCTTTGGGGTTTAGGGTTTTTTTGGGAGTAGGGTTCAAGACGGTTCGGCTTGGATTGATCGTAGGGTTGAGCCAGGCCCTTCAGGGGGTACAGGGGGAGTGGGGGGGGGGGAAGGGGGGCGGGGGGGGGGGGGGTGTGGGGGGGGGGGGTGGGGGGGTTGGGGGGGGGGGTGGGGGGTGGGTGGGGGTGGGCGCCTGCTGGGAGGGGCTTCAACTGCCTCTGGTCCTGGCGAACCGTCCGCTTGCGGACCCCGGTTTCCTAGGGGGGGGTACCCATTTGAGGCAAAAAAGGGTCCAAAAGCATTTGGGAGTTCTGACAACCTCCGGCCATGCAAGCCATCACGGCCTTTTGCCATTGTGGGCTGAAGCTCAGGCCCTTGAAGCTAGAAGCCTACCGTATGAAAGGGTTTTGCCTATATTCATGGCCGGGTCTCGGCATTGTCGAGTCGTTTTCTGTCCTCATGTCAAGTTGTTTGGGGCCTCGGTCGCAAGGAAGCTGAGCAAGTTTAGATGGAGCTGGGTCGGCTTAGCTTCTCGGGACCTTGGCTGTCCCAAAGCTTCCTGCATGCCAAGGTTCTTAAAACTTGAAGCCATCTGATGACACCCCATGGGCACCATGACACTGAGTTGGTCTGGTTCATCTGGTTAGCAGCTCTCCCTGTCATGGTATCCATGTGCTGACGTCTTCTTAGTCTGGGCTCTCGTTCTTGTTCAGCTATTATTAAGGCTGTTACAGCAGCCCGTGGAGCGGTCGCTAGACGGGTGGCAAAAAGAAACGCCTGAAACCTGTTTAGGCCTGAAACTTTTCCTACCTGGGCTGAAGCCAAGGCCCTTGAAGCAAGAGCCTAAACGGAAGTCTCTACCCTCATCAACCTCTGCTCCCAGGAGGGGTTGGGTGATCGACCCCACAGACCACCCTGGGAGGCAGAGCTGCATTAACCCCTTTGCTACAGAACTGCAATGATTCAATTGTCTTTTGCTTCCGACCCGACTGCTTGAAGCTTTCGAACCAAGGAGTCTGCTGCAATACTGCGCCGCCCCAGGCCCCAGTGAGGCCCGAGTAAGGGTGGAAGCACGGAAAGTAGTCAAGGTTCAGGGCATCATTTCTAGCAGCGGGAAGGAGCAGTGATGGCGGAGCTGGAGCTTGTATTCTGTACATGCCCACGACATGACACGTGAAGCATCTTCGAGCCGAGACGCGCACTCCGGAGCGCTGCTGAACCCTGAGAGCTGAGAAGGCCAGCACGCTGGCCTGCACGAGGAAGGTCCTCGCCACCACGCGTGCCAGTTTCTTGGGACTTGTCAATCAGGGCATGTCAAAAGGAGGACATGTGGTAAAGAGTGCCGATATCTTTCCCATACGTATGTGGAGTGGGCTGAAAAGCCGCAGCACCTCAAGCGGATCCCTGCTGAGAAACTGTAAAGTCAGTCAGTGCCTGATCTCAATCTCAAGTTCGTTTGTCTGTCTGAGTTCATCTTACTTACAGACTTACATCTGCCAGAAGCCATTCCGGCTTGGGTGGTTGGTCGTCGTTCCATGGACCGCTACTGCTCGCGAATCATAGCCATGCTGTCCGTCCCCTGCGACTCTGACAAACTGAAGGGCGCCCGTTGGCCGAATGCGTTTCAACCGCTGCTGCAACTAAGAGCATCTAGGAGTTAGGGCTTTCAAGCTGATAGCCATCCTGAAACCCAGGCTTTGGGTCCTGGTTGTTTACGACGCGGCACAGCGTGGGCCTCAGAACGTGACGGAACTTGGTGCTTCGTATGGCTTCCAAGGCACAGGTGGCAAAAAAAATATGCGATTGCACTCCTGGGTTGCCCAAAAGCAGGCTCCATTTCTTCAGGTTCTGATGAGTAAACGGTGGCTTCTGGCCGGTTAGAATGCAAGGCCTTCGAACTCCTGTCCGAGTTGTTTTTGAATCCTCTGCATCATCACTGACAGGAATCCACGAGTTAGGGATTCATTTGTCAGGATCACGCGTCCCAAAAGCGCAAGCCAGGCTAAACAAGAATGTTGAAGACTCAGAAGACTTGAAGCTGAGGCATCTCCGAAGGCGAGCAGCTTTTAATGCCCTACAGCAAGCCCTTCTTCAAGGACGGCATTTGCACACTTTTGCACACGATTTTTTCATTTGATTTCCTTCGGGGCCTCGGCTTTGGATTCCAGAGACCCCATGAGAACCTACGAGACCCCGTGCTGCCATCACCGGCAGAGGCACAAATCTCGAGCATCTCTGTTTCCAGTTGCCTTTGGATTTGTTTCTCTCTTGCTCGGCGCCTGACACGATCGAGAGTCCAAGTACTCGATGGGGAGCGATTTCCTGCCTTCTCGCCCTTGCAGGAGAGAGACCTCCCGTGGGTGAATGCGCCTTGCCTCGCACTCTTAACTCAAGCCCGTCAGCTTGGAGGTTGAGTGTCGAACAAGGCTTGAGCACGCAGAGTCTCGCGGGCGGAGCTCGTCATTTGACTTCTTGCAATGTCTAATGTGTGTAGTGTATAGAGCTTTGGATTTGGCAGTCTTCCTCAGAAGGTTTATTTTTGGCCCCCTAAGTATTTTGTACTTTTTTTTGTTGCGTATTGTACTTTGTTATTGGGTTTGGGGCTTGCTATTCAACTACAGAGGAGCTAGAGGTTTTTCTTTGAAAATTACAAAGGAAATAGATGTTTTCCTACTAGAAAGAAAGAAAGACACAAGTAAACAAAAAAAGAAACAAAAGAAAGAAATAACGAAATGAAACGAAAACATAACAAACAACCAAGAGCAACAACCATACAGACGTAACGAAAGAAAGAAGAAACAATGATATACTGAAATGGATATTTATACAAAGAAACCCAACGCATCAAGCCTTGCAAGCATGCTTGCCAAGAAGATCATGCACGAAGAGGATTTTTGCTTGCCACAACAATCTCCAATTAATCCGGTCAAATGCCTTGGATATGTCAAGGCTGCGCATGCAGGGAGGGCTGTGAACAAATGTTGCTCAAGACGGCGATGGGTTTACAACCGTGCTGTGGAGGCTCGATTCTGTGCGAAATCATGTAGGAGAAGATCTTGTGCAGCAAGCGCGCACTAGAACTGGGCCGATAGTCACTCACCAATCTCGCTTGGGTGCAACCATGGCGGTTTTTGATTTGGAGTCACTCACCAATCTCGCTTGGGTGCAGCCATGGCGGTTTTTGATTTGGCGATGTACCTTGCGGAGCGTTTCGTCTAATTCCTGAGGGTAATTGGTGCGAAAGAGAAGAGTCCCTGGGGATCTTTTGCAAGATGTACGTTGTCGGGTCGGGTTTTTGGGTTTCGGGAGAATGCTAGGTACCTCCGGTGATCGAGATCGTGGATAGTTTTTGTTGCGTTCCCAGGTAGTCAGGAGTCTTGTATCATTTAGACCTGCTGAGGTTGTTTCTGGTCGGTTATGTACTGCTGACTTCCATGGTAATCTGACATGGAATCCTTAGTGCCTTAGTGCTGCTTTACTGGTTGCAAGGCTTCGGCCAGTTTACGCTTGAAGATCTTGATGGAACGTTTTGTAACCCTGCAGTGCAGTTGAGACTTCTCTAGGCAGGGGGTGCAACACCCCTTTTGAAACCACGCAGTGCGAAAGCACCAAAGACCGTTGGGCCCATGGCCAGTGTGGCAAGGTGGGGACCGCAGCGCACCCGGCCCGCCGGCGCAAGGGGCTTCCGGCCGCACTGGCCGGGCTTGTGCCCAGATGGCCTCTGTGGCCTAAAGCAGTTAGGTGTTGCGGTTGGTTCTTGGAGTTCACGTTGAGGGCGAAAAGGGTATTCGGGCAATCTGCGGCTTCGGGCTGCGCCGCATTAGCCAGGTTGGAACGTTGCCGGCCAAAAGAGGACTGACCGAGCATACTGAGGGTTCGATTCAGGGTCGGCGTCCTTCCAACTTCCCATGAGGACCTCCGCTGCAAGCGCAAAAGCAGCCGGTGCAGGTGTGGCGCTCGGGGATTTGAGAACCAGCATACGGCTTCCAAGACGTGTTCCTAAATTTCCCGGCAAAGTGATTGCCTTTTTTGGGTTTCGGGACGTCTGGAAACGGGTCCCACAAACCACTGCCCGAAGCCAAAGGCTTGAACGTTTCATGTGCCGTAAACTGGGAACGCTGAGATGCTTCGCGATTGATTGTTTGGTTGCCAGTCAATATTCCCACAGAGCGCAACATGTGCGTGCCGACGAGGATGGTGCCTCCGGCTCACAAAGGCCTTGATGTCTCTGGGCCGATTCGCGGTTGAGGTCCTAGGTTCGCTTGTGGTGGTGTCGTGTTCATGACATTTCCATTCTGCCCGTTCTCTCCGGCCCCTCTCCCTTCCCCCCTCCCGCTTCCCCCCGCGCCTCACCCCCTCTAGTTTGAAAAGGTTTGCAATTACGGTTCTGTTTATGTTCCAGGCATTTACATGTGAAGTCAAAAACACTTCCTGTATCTGCCTTGTGCCAAACAGATTGGCGATAACTCCACTCCCCCCTTCAAAGAGTTGAAATTGGACAAAAACTTCTTGTCTGAGAGGGAACGCTTCGCGATGAATGTCCGGAGCTTCTAGATACGAAGTGGCTACTATAAGCGGCAATCTTCATACAACTGTGAACTCACAGAGTGTTTGGAACACTTGCCAAAAAGGAGTCTCAGAACCAGATGGCTACTTCCCGGGCCTTTGAACCAGAACGTTGTTTGTGCAGGAAGCCGAGCAGTTTGCTGAAGCGCCCGGTGCCCAAGTTTAGCACATGGGCGGCATGCTTGAAGGGTTGCTGCAAGTCTTTTTCCGTGAGATGATCTGCACGTACGAAGAAAGTAAGGCCATCATTCGCCATGTAGGACGTTTCCAAGCGCCGGGTACCTCACAGAGCGTATAGAATGAAGAGTGTTGGTTGATTTGTCAAGCGGCCCCTGCACCCTTGAAGGGTGGGCGCTTGGCTCTGTGGGCTCGGGGTTTGCAGGCCTCTAAAGCGCAGCCCAAGTTGGGGCAACATTATCTTTGCAGCCTGAGTCGTGTCAACGAAGGGTCTTGTGACGTCCTACATGTCGGAGTCCAGGCGCTGCCTACGAGTTCTCAGCTGATACTTACGGTGCTGGCAAGTGCTCACAGTGGAAGCCAAGTGTAAGCGTTCCCATCCAGGCGAGGGGCTCTGGCAAAAAGACGCCTTCTCGCTTGCGGCTGTCCCCAAGAGATCTACTTGTACACGGGCTGGGTGATGCTAGAGGTGCGCCATGTAGCCTGTCTCAGGCAGGGCCAAGTACCAGACGGCTTCCGCTGAAGAGGTGGGGTGCTCGAGAACGTGATGGTTGGGCATCTAAGCATCGCTCGGTTCAACTTGGAGCTGCACACCCTACCCAACTTGTAAACCCCGTTCTCGCTACCCTGCAAGGCCGATGAAGGCCAGACGTGGTGGGTCCAAGACACTGGCCAAGAAATGTGCCACAGCATGTCCCTACAGCTCAAGTCAAATACCGAGAGGAATCGCAACAGGTTTGCACTTGTCCATGAACTGATTGGATTGATGGGATTCAGTTGCCTGTGTCTCTTGTGGCAGGGGTCGAGGTCATCCGCGACGCGAGAGTTCCCAGACGGCTGGAGTGAGCAAAAGATGCGCCTCAGGGTCGACAAGTCTGCAGGGGCTGCAGGGGGTGGTGTTCAATCATAAAACCCCGCTATGTTCCTATTTTCCCAGCTTCAGCCTATTTCAGCCTTCATGGGCGGGCGTTGATTTCGAAGCCATGGCTGGATTGTGCCTGCGCTTTGTGATGCTTTGTGTCTGTGCCTGCGCTGTACGTCCTTCCTGCTCTTGTTCTTCTTGCCCTTCAATTTCGACTACCTGTGGGCTGCAGTTAGACACCGAACTCCCTGGGCAGGTGAAGGCGACCAATGGAGACACCTCTTTGGGAGGCAGCGTTGGGTACGGTACGGAAAACCTTGCTTGGCAGACGCCACGTCCGAGACGGTTGTGATGGCCGTCTTTGCAGTTGGCATGCGAATTGCCTGTATCCCTGCAGTGCTTTTCTAAGTCAATGAAGCAATGAATCAGCGAATCCCGCCCGCATGTTCAGGAGAGGATTTCGACCACACCATCTTGACCTTTTTGGTCGAGGACTTGCTCTCTCCCCTCTCCCCACTGGCACGAGCTGGACGCCCCCGATATTTGGGGGAAAGTTGGACCAAAAGGAGGAGGAGGAGCAGGTAGTGGCCGTGGTGGTGGTAGTGGTGGAGTGGTAGTAGCAGTACAGTAGCATAGTAGCAGTAGTAGCAGTAGTAGCAGTAGTAGCAGTAGTAGCAGTAGTAGCAGTAGTAGCAGTAGTAGCAGTCGTAGCAGTCGTAGCAGTAGTAGTAGACCTACTAGCAGTAGTAGTAGTAGTAGTAGTAGTAGTAGTAGTAGTAGTAGTAGTAGTAGTAGTAGTAGTAGTAGTAGCGTAGTAGTAGTAGTAGTAGTAGTAGTAGTAGTAGTAGTAGTAGTAGTAGTAGTAGAGTAGTAGTAGTAGTAGTAGTAGTAGTAGTAGTAGTAGTAGTAGTAGTAGTAGTAGTAGTAGTAGTAGTAGGAGGTGACACGCTCTTAACTGATCATGGTGTTTTCTGCTGTTTTTTGACTTTTTCTATCGTTTTCTCTGGTTTTTTCTGCGTTTGACGGGTTGGGGGGGGTGGGGGGGGTGGGTGGGGGGGGGGTAATTACGTGCTGTGCTTTGTGCACACATGACCATGCTGAGGGGTTGGGGGGGGGGGGTGGGGGGGTAATTACGTGCTGTGCTTTGTGCACACATGGGGGTCGTGCTGGGCTTTGTGCACGCTTGACCACGCTGTCTACTGTTTTCCTCTGTTTTTTTGGTTGGTTTAGGGGCAAGATCTTTTGGGCTCACAGTGGAGGGTTTAGGGTTTGCAGGTACAGATCTTTTGGGCTTTTTTGGGAACCTTTTGGGCTTCCAGTGGAAATATGGGGTTTGAGGTTTCAGCCTACAGATCTTTTGGTTTTTTTTGGCATCTGGGTTTTAGGGTTTCAGGGCAAGACAGTGGAGGGTTTAGGGTTTGGGGCTTGAGGGTAGAGACCTTTTGAGGTTTTTTGGGATTTGGGGTTTAGGGTTTAAGGGTAGGACCTTTTGGGCTCACAGTGGAGAGTTTCGGGATCTTTTCGGCTTTTTGGGATTCACAGTGGAGGGTTTAGGGATCTTCTGGGCTTTTTTGGGATTTGGGGTTGAGGGTTTAAGGGAAGGGTTTGGGGTTGAGGCTGTAAGGTGAAAGGACTTTTGGGCTTTTTCTATGGGATTTAAGGTTTAAGGGGGTGCACTGTGGGACTGCTTTGTCATTCAGGGTACACATGGGGTTTGGGGTTTCAGGCTCCAGATGTTTTGTGTTTTTTCTGGGGACGTGCTTGACGCTGTGGGGTTGAGATTTTAAGGGTGCACGACTCTTGGGCTTGCTTCAGGTTTCGGGGTTTCGGATTTCAGGGTGCACGACTGTTCGGCTTGCTGGAGGCGTTCGGGTTTAAGGACAAGTTTGGCCACATCTTAAAAAAAACCCGCGAAACGCTGTAAATACCGATCTTTTCCTCTGTTCTGAGAACACGTCTGCGCAAAATAGGCCCTGTAATTGACCGTTTTTGAAGCCCGAAAACACTGTAAATACCGATGTTTTCCTCCTGCGCATAAAGTAGTTGAAAGTAGTTTGCGCGACTTTTTACACATCCATTTTTCGTGTCCGTAAACGGACAAAGCCAGGAAACACTGTAAATACCGAGGTTTTGGTCTCTTAACACGAAAATTGCATGCCACAAAACCCCTGCGATCAATTAAGAACGCGACGCCTAGTAGTAGTAGTAGTAGTAGTAGTAGTAGTAGTAGTAGTAGTAGTAGTAGTAGTAGTAGTAGTAGTAGTAGTAGTAGTAGTAGTAGTAGTAGTAGTAGTAGTAGTAGTAGTAGTAGTAGTAGTAGTAGTAGTAGTAGTAGTAGTAGTAGTAGTAGTAGTAGTAGTAGTAGTAGTAGTAGTAGTAGTAGTAGTAGTAGTAGTAGTAGTAGTAGTAGTAGTAGTAGTAGTAGTAGTAGTAGTAAGTAGTAGTAAGTAGTAGTAAGTAGTAGTAAGTAGTAGTAGTAGTAGTAGTAGTAGTAAGTAGTAGTAGTAGTAGTAGTAGTAGTAGTAGTAGTAGTAGTAGTAGTAAGTAGTAGTAGTAGTAGTAGTAGTAGTAGTAGTAGTAGTAGTAGTAGTAGTAGTAGTAGTAGTAGTAGTAGTAGTAGTAGTAGTAGTAGTAGTAGTAGTAGTAGTAGTAGTAGTAGTAGTAGTAGTAGTAGTAGTAGTAGGTAGTAGTAGTAGTAGTAGTAGTAGTAGTAGTAGTAGTAGTAGTAGTAGTAGTAGTAGTAGTAGTAGTAGTAGTAGTAGTAGTAGTAGTAGTAGTAGTAGTAGTAGTAGGAGTAGTAGTAGTAGTGGTAGTAGTAGTAGCCGCACGGTTCACAGCAGTTGGGAAGTCAACCAGCCTCCAGGCCGAACGCACTAGAGCTCAGCAACAGGCCCTGCCTTCGCAGAAGCTTAAGGATTCTGCCTTTGCCTGAGCCATTTTGCCATTGGAGCTACGAGTCGACTCTGCTGTGAACCGCCGGGTCCCAATTCCCGGGCCTCACGCACACCGACAACAACGAGTTTGCAGAGGGTTTCCACTGCTCCGCGAGGTGGAAGGAGTACCCTCTTTAGTGACTTCATCATCTATGTTTCTGGAGGGGAAAAACAAGCGGATGGCAAGCCGAACGCGCCTCAGTACATTTCTCCTGCCTACACTTTTCCATTTACAAAAGCTTCTGCAGCATACAGACATCCTTGGAGCAGCGCAACATTGGTCGACTTCAGAGCCTGGTTGCTATGCAAGAAGTATCAGTGCTGAGGCCTGTTTTTGTGCCTCGAGCAGCTTCCCCGGGATGATGCACTCAGAGATCACTGCGATCCTTTTCTGCGCAGTTAATGCGAAGTGGCAGCTTCTTCTCCGAGACACTCATGCTCAAAAGCCGCTTCGCAGACAAGTACGTGGCTGGCCAAGACACGCCCCCTCCCCCCCCCCTCCCCCCCCCAGTTCGAGCTACAGCCCAGTCACGTATTGCTTTCAATACTGTTGAAAGGGATTGCAGCGCAGCTGACATGCTGCTTGCTCCGGGGAAAACGTCAAACGTTGGTGAGGATGAGAAGTCTCCGATAAGGTTGTACGGACTTGCAACACAGCTGCCAAACACAAAGCTATCCAACGACCTTCAGCACGACGTAATCCTCCCAATGCTGGCCCCGCTGACTGATGTCTTTCGATGCACATGGGGTGCCCGTGTGGCCCCAGACGGGGCGCCGGGCCGGTCTTGTCTACAGGACAAGGTGCAGGTTGACTGCAACCACAGTTCTGAAGTACGACCAGCTACATGCGCAGGGCTGCTTGAGGGTCAGGGCTACTTTCTGAGGGGGAGCTGCCGCAGGGGCTTGTTGCAACCGTCGCCCCAGATGGCCTCGGGAAGCGTTGGCTTGGCCCACGGGCGAAGGATCGCCTTGCCTTTGACTGAGTAGCCGTGCACGAAGGGCGGGGGCATAGCGTCCGCTCGGTAGCGATTGGCCATGAAGAGATCGGGGCCCGGCAGGGCAGCCATGATAGACTGACGGCTGCTCAGGGCATAAAGAAGGGACAAGCAGCCTTACTCATAGGGCCCCTGCCCCCACGTGCAGATGCCCCTGACCGGACTCGATAGGCTCCACCGCTGGAGCCATCGCCAAGGGTAAGGTGGCGCTCGGGGTTGGGAGAAAGCGACTGCTGCTGTTCTCAACTTGC